GAAAACACAGGGTTGTATCAGACTCTCGACGTGGTTTCGAGTTGGTTAGCTTTTAACCATCTCAGTGAAATGGTTAAGTGGTGTCATTTTTATAAGGCGAAACTACGCTAAATCAAGTGGGTTATCGGGATAACCAACTCAGTAGCCATAACTACGTGGTTAGCTCTGGTGGGGACATGGTATAATGCGTTAAAATACAGTGGTGAATCGACTGGATTATGTTGTGCAGGAGGCAAAGTAAAATTGCTATACAATACAATACAATATATAGATAATTAGATCGCCCTCACCCTCTTCGCTGAGTGTATGAAATTTTTACGTGCTATATTGAGTAAAATTTATTTCAAGAAAACTCAATTCAAAAACAGGAGGTTTAAAATTTGTTTAACCACCTTCAAAATATTTTCAAACTAAAACTTTCTTAAACTTATCATTTGTCATAATAATAATAATAATAATAATAGATTGGCGCTTACACATATGTTAGTGTTTGGCCGAGCTTCTCCTCCGATTTGTGGCGTGCCCCTTGATGTTGTCACACAAAGCGGAGGAACCTACAGTTTTACGCCGACTCCGAATGGCGATTGTATTTTTATGAGAAGCTGTTTTTCATGGCAGAAATACACACGGAGGTTTGCCATTGCCTGCCGAGAGAAAAACCTTTTTTCTATATTTTTTGCGATGTTGCTTTGACCAGGGTTTGAACCCAGGCGTTGCGGAGTGGAAACGCCCACTGCTTACCACTACACCACAGCGGCCGATTTGTCATACTTTTTCAATTAACTTATCCCCTGAACTCAATTTGAGATTTTAAACAGATGGACACCCCTTACATGTAGTTTTGATACCCATATTGTAATAATTCATTTAAATTATTAATAGTTTGAATTTAACCTTTTGAACAGTTGGCAACCTTTTTAAACCTGTTTCGTGTGGTACTCATATATATTGTGATACATATTCAAAATCATTTCGATTCATACCAATCTATACCAATATATATTGAAGCCGCTTTTTGTGTTCGCAAAGCTCGAGAACGGACGAACCGAGTTTTTTGTAATTTCCGACACCTGATTCAGATATCCCAAGGATTATCATAGGCTAACAAAATTTTCGATATATAGAGGGGGCGTAAAAACCGAATTTTTATACCGAATATCTCTGGAAATGTTCATGGTAGAGTACTGGAACTTGGTGTGGAGATATATGAAATCAATCTTATACTCACGGAAAAAAACAGGCTATCTGAAAAGAGGGAATGGCGCCGTACAAACGTATATATAATTCATCTGCAGGTGTGTTTGTGAGTGAAATCCTCCTAAATGCTCGGACGAATTTAAACGAAGTTTTCTGTGTGTTTTTGAGTAACTCTCTGGATAGTGTAGTTTCACAAATTCACCCGCCAGTTGGCATTAGAGTTAAAAATGTTATTTACGATCAACTTTGGCTAATATTCAAAATATGTATTGGTAACGGTAAAGGCAATACTATTACAAAAAAGAGCTGCTACGTGGCGCTGGAGTCATTACGAATAATTGCCAAGTTAGAAAAGGTGCCGTGAATGTCATATTAAATCGACCTGCTGCACCACTGAATATATCTAACTCTTGTGCGTTACGATTGGCCCAATGGATGTGATTTGCCAGTATTATTATGCGTTAAAGCTTTATTCGGAGACACCAGGGTTGAGTTGTGCAGGGGTAAATCTCATATCACCACCGATTAACCAACCGCCAAAACCATGGCGCGCCTTTTACTGTAGTTCAAGTAAAAAAAAATTATTTTCGTAAAACTTACTTTTACTTACTTTTTAAGGTATTTCGCCTGAAATAAGTCTATGTATATTGGATTTCTGTAGAACAATTATACGCATCCATTTTGAAATTGCCACCAAATATACTATACCTTTTTTTGGACAGATTTACTATAGAACCGGCCGCCAGGGAGTCAAGAGGAAATGTTCTTCAAATTTATTTCTTTGTGAGATTAGCCGTTCTATGAAATGTTTCACAATTAGAGAATTTCAAGAACTTCATGACGAACATAACGCTTTCGTTAGGTTATTTAAGGCGGAAAACGACCATCAAAACATAATCTTAGCCGATGTACGTGCCAATGGAAATCGTTAACGTGAAAATATTCGACCAAAAGTTTCAATAAAAAAATAATAAAAAAATTATTTTGTGCGGGGGGAAGTTCGCCGGGTCTGCTAGTATTATATATTTTTCATTTTAATTTATTTAATTTTGATTCTTTTCACTACATTTTAAACCAATTCGTTTCATTTCTATCATTTCAATTTTTTTTTTTCAATATTTTATTTAATTTTTTTTCGTTTAATTCCCATTTTATGTATAACTCCATCTGATTTCGTTTCTTCAATTTATTTGAGTTCATTTCATTTCAATTGTTTTTTTTTCTTTTTGTTATTTTTAGCTCACCTTACGCTCAGCTTCACTTCTTCACTTTTCAGTGTTTTCTTTGTCTTCGCAACTTTTCGCCTCGCTCTTTATACTCTGTGCATTTTCCAATTCTACTGAGTTAGTGTAGCGTTTCGCAGCAGCTGAAGTCGAATTGCGGTTTGGCGGATTTTTCTATGATTTTTCCGATTATGCAATTCACATAAATCGACATAGAGATGGCGGCGTCAACAAAACGCGTCTAACCAGTTTTTCAATGCGGTTTCGTACACGCTGCGCTTTGTGTTTATTTATTTCGTTGTTTTTTTTTTTTAGTATTTCCTATACGCCTTTGCATTGTCATTGCAATTTAATGCTTTCACATTAGAAACTAAATATACTGCAATAACATTAAATGAATTGAATTTCAATTGATATGCAGCTATTAGAGAGCGAAATTCCTGGCTTTACGAACTTCCTTATTGTATGTGAGATAATTAAGAGTTAGTCCTTATGTTCCAAATAAAATATAAATATGTGCATATTTATAAAAATTATGTGTTTATTATGTATGTATGTATATTGAAATCATCTTTTTTTTTGCGTTTAGATATTAAACTGGCACATTTTTCTTGGCTGATTTGGTTTCAACCGCCTACCTCGACGGAAGATATAGCTAACAACCTAGAAAACCATGTAAATAAAAATTTCAAACTTTGTAGAACATTTTCAAAGATTCGACGAATTTTATTAAATGTGCATCCAAGTTTGCAATTTTTTAATTAGATTTTGTAGAATTTTTTTTGGGTATGCAGTTTTTCAGCAAATAAATAAATTCAATAAAGTGCAAGCTCAAAGTATCTTGGACTTACCGTTAATTTTTGGCAATTTTTTGTTCACGCATTTTATTCCATACAAAGTATGTATGTTCGACAATTATTTTATATGGAGAAAATGAGCAACACCTACCACAAAAAATGCCAAAAATCAACGGTAAGACCTTGCACTTTATTATACTAAAATTGAATGGGCTATAATATAAGAAATCTAATTAAAAAGGTCAAAATTTGAGTGAGACTGTCGAATTTTAATACTAATCTTATGCTGCGTTGTAGAACTATCATCTGAACTAAAGATTTATAAGTACACAGAGCACTTGTGATAGCGTGAACTAATTAAAAGCAAGGGAGTTCACATTTACGAACTTGTTCATGTTTTGGAATGTGGAAATTTAGGGCAAACGCAGTCCTGTCCCAATAATATATTTTTTTTTGCTGACGGATTTTTGAAATTTTGATGACGATTTTTGTATAAAGTATAAAACTTTGATCTATCAAGTTATTTTAGAAAAATAACAAAAAAAAATTACTTGATAAAATTTTGAATATTAAAAAAAATCACAACATGGTCACTTGGTTGAGTCACTGTATGTAATACATACCATCATTTTCTATTTGTACTAGGCTTTAACGTGCATTAAAATCTCCAGAAGAGTACTACAGAATTTTATTATGGGAAATAAAATGAACTTTAATGTTCAAAAATAAAAGGAAATATGCAACTTTTTTAACTTTATTACATAAATGCTTTGAAAGCTACTTTACTGTAATTTGTAACATTCGAACCCATAGTCTTACTGAAACTATCACTTGCCGCAGGTATAAGAAATTCGCTCCCTATTTTTCCAACACAATTAGGATAACTTTTGAAAAATATGTACATACATACGTAGTACAACCTTTTTTTCTTATAAACATTTTCAAGTGTCTGTATTAACAGCATTTTTTGCACAACTTGCATTTCTAGGAAATATGTTGGCAATTGATGTAAGTGATGACGTATAGACGTATGTAATATATAAGTAAATACTAAAACGGGTTACTAAAAAGGGCTTGCGTTTACACCATCCTATCGTTTAAAAGATTTATTCTTTTTCCAAAGTTCGTTCAGCATATTTTTCTCAGAAAAGTAGAATAAGTTCTTACCGCCTAAGATATTTAAACAATTGTTTACTTTTGTAAGGTAAGGCAACAACTATAACTCAATATAACGAAAGCATTACGGCGTACTGTGAACATGCTCAATTCAGTACAGTTTCAGCACGCTCGTATTGAAGAACCCTTTATATGCATAACATTAATTGTGTGAGCTAAAAACTGGTTCTCGTTTCAATATAAGCTTAAGTTTGGAATAAACTCATTTGCAAAACCTACTTACATACATATATAAAATGCATTCTGCGCTACATATGCACATGCATACATATCTATGCATACCCAGTGGGAAAAATGGTAATGCATTACATGCGTGATAAATAATGTAATGCATTTCTTATGAGTTCTAGATTCTACTACTGTTTAATATACAATCAGCATTCTAATGTATCAAAAAAGACGCAAAAAATGTTTATTAAATCGCATTCATTTCTGTATTACTGGCAAAGCCAAATTGAGTGCCACACTTTTCGAATATGAAAACGGCTGTTTTAATGATTATTTTTTTCGATTACAGTTCATTACATTTTCCCACTGGGTATATACGAACCTACACGCGCGGCAAAGAAAGTTCTCACATTTACGTTTCATGCTGAAAAACTCTCAATGAACGCAAAATAATGTCAGTTGCATTAAGCTTCTCTCAGCACGTGGATGTGTGACGAATTTCCGTATGGCGTCATTTTGCAGAATAGTTTTATTAATCAGCGCATTTTCAATGCTTCAGGTAAAATTTCAAAAATATAATTTTAACTTTAAATAAGAAATAAATAAGCTAAATATCAACTAAATTTCTTAGCACGTGATAGCCCAGCCATTAGCAGAGTTCAACGATGATTCTATTGGAAGCACCCCAAAGCAGCAGCAGCAGGTGGATAGTACGAGTGAGAGAGCGCCTCCGAACAAGGCCACATCTCCATTAAAAAGAGAACACTGGGCCGTATTGTGTGCTGTGATTCCATTGACTCTTTTACTTATAACTATACTTAAATACAAATGCTGTCCAAGTGTGCGCATTTGTGGCTGCAAAGAAGTGGAGTTACAACGGAGAGAATCGATTCCGCAAAATAGAGTATTTAAACCACAACATCACTGGGGTTCCACAAATCATATCTGAGAGTATAATATACATACATATCAGTGTTGCCAGAACTTTTTCGATGAACCGGCTAAATTGGCAAATAAAACCGGCTAAAAACGGCTAAAATGTTTCAACTAAATTTCACATGTTTTATTTAAATAAATCACGAGTAAAAAGACTTTTTCTTGGAGAGAAGTTACAAATTCGAGTCGGAAAAAATTTTGCCAGCAAGAATTTGCAATTAGGAAAAATATATGATTGTGGCACATGGTTGGATTTTTTGTCGACGATAATTTGAATAAACAAGTTCGTTAAATTTAAAAATTTACAAACTGGAGCGATTTTAAAATGAAAAATGTAAGTTAATACTTGTTTATTACTATTATTTACTATCTGATATTTTGAGTGATAATTCTCGCTTGATTTTCGACGAACAAACTTATTGTCTTCCCTACAAGGCCTTATCAGACTGACCGATTCTCAATACACTCAAATAGAAACCAATACACATAAAACACGCTGTAAAAATTTCCCTTCAATTTTAAGGCAGTAAAACAACGACCTTAAGTTAACATCAACCGAGGCCATATGTTGACAAGGGATGCAAAATCACAGTTACGCAAAAGAACTGGTCAGATTTTTCAGAAATCCCTTCAATTCTAATATAAAATATGATGCCAAAAGACTGCAGATCTCCCATTTAGATGACCGGTCATATGACCGTCAGATGTCTCGTAGAATTCCCAGCGAGTTTTGCTTTACATAGAAATTTGTGCTCTTTTATTTTCATTTTGACTCACTTCAGTGTTGGTTCCTTTAATTCAAGTTGGCATTCGGTTTTTGGAATTTAAGTAAGTTCTCAGCAAAAAAGTTTGTTAAAAAAAATACATATGTGTACATAGTGCCTGAAAATATAAATTTTTCCCTTACTTTAAACTTTTGGGAGTGGGCAAAAATGATGCTTTGTAATTTAGGCAAAATTGAATATCTACATGTAATATTTATTCTGTTTGTTGGCACTATATCCAAACACAAACGCATCTTAAGAGTCTTAACAGTGAAACAATTTCTTATTTTCTAAGTTTGCGAATAAAACTTCACACTTAAAATTAAAACATTTATAACAAACATTTTATGAAGAAAATCCCTCAATTTCATACAATCCTGCCTGACATGAAAATTTTCTCCACGATAAGGCTAGTAGCCATTTCTAACAGATTTTGGCTCGCTTAGTCAAAAATGGAAACATATATGCATATTTGAAATTTAAGAAAACAAGGCAAATAGCAAAATCGGCTAAAAACGGCTAGTTTTTTTCTGCAAAACGGCTAACAAATCGGCTGCCGGCTAGATCGAAATTTCTCCGGCTGTTTGTTATCGCAACCGGCTAAATCTAGCCGGAAAACGACTAAAATGGCAACACTGATACATATATGTAAATGAGCAGTCAAAGAAATGTTCCAAATTATACATTTGGGAATGAAGTGTATTTCTCTTAACAAGTACTTTTGGAACGGTATTCCCAAGGTGTATTAAACAAGGTGTGATTGCCAACTCAGGTAGGCTCCCTTTTAAGGTACTATTATCCCAAAAAATATAAACAATCGATTTAAAATTCATACAAAATTTTTTCAATTTGACTTTATAGGATGGTTTTTCTGAGAGCAATGTCAAATTCAATCACACTTTGTTGAATACATTTTGGGTATTCCCAAAGTGGGATTTTAAAAGAGAAAACCCCATGATTTAAAAATTACAAGGAAAAATCATTCTTTCAATTCGTCGACCAAGATTTTTTTTTCTGACGTTTGCAATCATTTTAAAATCATATAAAATAGAAAATAAAAAAAAACTAAGTCGTTCCCAATTCTTGTTGTTTGAGATTGGAAATGAAAAATAGCGTGTGAGTTTGTGTTTGGAATTCTAAAACTAAATTACTTACAAACCGTCAGACTGCCTCTCAATAGTTTTACCGTGTAATATTTTTATCATAGAAAATGCTATAAATTTTCCATAAGTACGAAAACATTCGCAAGTTCAGATTATTTTTCTTTTATCACTCAGTTTCATATGTTCATTTTGCATAATATTTCGTGAGACATCTAAGCATGTATTAATAAGAAATCTTCAGACTTACATAAAAATTTTACAAAAATAAAATTCCTACTTTTTATAAAATTGAGCGAAAAGTAGATAATGAAGTGGTTTTTATTTATGCATTTACAACAACACAAAGTAAATTAGCTAATACAGTGGTGGAAAAATAAATGGGGACACGACATGTTTTCAAAGTTTGCCTATTTTTTTCGCTTATTTAATAAATCTCTTTTTGCCAAGTTTTAACGTATTATTTTTATTGTTATTTATTTTGGGATATTTTTTTATAAAAATATAGGTTCCTACTTAAAAAAAACCGTGTAAATACAAGTTTCCAACTTTGTGCAATATTAAAAAAAATCAACAAACTAAAAAACTTGTACTTTATTGTACTAGAATTCAATGGGCTGCAAAACTGCATACTCACAATCTAATTACAAACTCGAAATACTTATTGATTCTTTTTTTTTTTTAATTGCATAAACTTTCAAGGCAGTGTCCCTCGATTAGTAAATTTGTACAGATTTGTGCATTTTAATATTGGGCTATTGGTACAAAATTAAAAAAAAAATTAGGACAATTTTTTTTTGTAAAAAAATTGGTACAATACAGCAAACTTCTTTTGAAAATTTTCAACAAGCGGCCGCCATTTTTCGTGGTTGGGATAAAGAAAAATATTTGGGTATTCACAAAATTGGGATACGATTTGAACCAAATTTCGGCAAATACACAATTGTATTTATTCGGATATTGTTAAAGAATGAGCTATGTATAAAAAAACTAACCAAAATTAAATAACAAAAAAAATAATATTTTAAAACTTGTCAAAATTTGTGGCTATAATTTTTTCGACTACTGTACAGAAGATGACTACAATTACTCAGCCGTGCTCTAATAATAAAAATTTCAACCCTGTTTGTGTGAAATATTTTATTTTTATCAGTATTTTACTTTTAATCAATCTATATTGAAATAAATGTGAAAATAAAAAAATATTTTGTCAGAAGAGTCTGAAATGAGCCGTGTGATATGACGATATGACTCATATTGAGGCTCATTTGGTGTATGAATTTAAGCTAATATACATTAGTCGACCTTCGGAGGAAGGGAAACACCTTCATTTCGGACCCTTAAATGAGCTCATTATGAGCGTAAAGGTTCCTAACTATGAGTCCTTAAACACTCAAATTGTTTGCTGGGCACACAGCCAAAGAAAAACTTCAGTTTTCAAATAAACAAATAATTTTCTAACATTTACAAAACAATTTCATTTACATTTACCTGCATACATTCACCAATTAAGCGGAAAGTCAAGCGGATTGGAAATGGCGCTAGTTTGGCAAATATGCTTGCTTTACAGCGTTCTTTTAATCTTGCAGGCAAGTTTTTGAAACTATTTTCTGAAAGAGTTTTACAGCACAGCCTTAAATTTGTTATTCCGTATATTTAGTACACGGCAGCACAGCAACTGGAGGAGAAGCTCAGAGATTTAGATATGTTTATCATTGAACCAAATGAAAATGAGAATTTAGCCGCTGCGAATAGAGCAGATGAGGAAGATCTGAAGGGGATGTCATTTTGGAATAATCCTACAAACTGGATCATTGTGACCGCTGTGGTTTCATTGTGCCTCTTGACAGCGCCACTTTGTGTTTACTTGTTTTGTCCAAATTGTCATATTTGTGGATGCAAGATGGTCGACGTAGAGCGTACGCACAATTGAAGTTGCAATTTGTTGTATGTAGTAAATGGTGCTTAAAAAGTTCTATTTTTTTATTGGAAAAATTTACGTCCTTTAAAGCTTAATACAGAAGCTTTCTTTGGTCCATATGGGCAGCCGTCGGATTATTGTCGTATTTCCACGCAACCGTCCCTGAATTCTTAGAAAACTACATTAATTCTAAATAAAGTTTCTTCTCGCTACTCAGAGGGAGTTATCAGCTTGGGAATCAACCGGTTCTTGATAATCGCATGTAGATTTATTTGATGTTATGTATTTACATGTATATACAGTGACTCAAATAAATGACCACGTGTTGATTTTTTTTTTTTAAATATTCGTAATCTTTCGAAAAAAATTTTATGTTATTTTTCTATAAAAATAACGGTCAAACTTTATAAAATATTTAATTTTTTAATTCGAAAAATTTTCATCAAAATTTCAACTTATCAATCTGAATTTTTAGAACATTTTTGGGTATGCAGTTTTATAGCCCATAAAATTTGTTGTCTAATTGCGTTGACTTTTAAGAAGTTTTTTAAACGGATTTTTAAACTTTTTTCCATATAAGCATAAATTTATTGTGAAATAAAATGGGGGGGACCGTAAGCAACAAACTTTCGAAAAATTAACGCCAGTTTTTGTAAATTTCACTTGTTATATAAAAAAAAAAATTGGAAAAGCAGTCTAAAAAAAATAAATCAACGCAATTTTTTAGTCAGTTGAAACTTGCACTTAATTAGACAAAAATTGTATGGGCTTTAAATAAAACTGCATTCCTAAAGATGTTCTAAAAACTCAGATTAAAAAGTTAAAATTTTTATGAAAATTTGTTGAATTTTTCAAAATTTTGTAAAAAGTGTGAAACTGCGGTTTATATGCTTTTGGTTAAAGCTTGGATGGTATTTTTCTATAAAAATAGAAAAATACCAACAAAAAATTTAGCTCAAAAACATTACGAATATTTAAAAAAAAAAAATTAACACGTGGTCCCTTGTTTTGAGTCACTGTATAGATGTATATATGTAGTGAGGTGCAATACGAACCGATTAATATAAACAATTTTAATTGATAATTTTACTGCTATAAAATTGCATTCTAATAGTTTGCAGCTTCAGTTGCTTTGTATACAGCAAATAAAAAGGAAGGTGTTAGGCAGAAATGGACAATTATTGGAAAGTGTTTTTATTATTGAGCGTATTTCTATCGCCACATGTAAGTTTTTTTAACTAAACAATAATCAACTTAAACAAAACTCAGAGTTTTATTTGTCTCCTTGTCTTAGCTAATCTGGATGGGTGCGGAAGCTCGTTTACATGTATGTAGATATTTAAAATAACAATTATAATTACAAATTCACATATATCTGCACGTATGTAATTTTATCTTGCAGATCTCAAAAGTTACCCAACCTACGGAAGCAACCACCACACCCATACCACCTACAAAAGACGAAATCATTGAGCAAGTCCTACCAAAAACTACACAGTCCTTGATACCCGATACACCAGGTGTACGACAATTCAAAGAAGATTTGATTTCCCATTTAATGCCGACTATATTGGGGCAAAAAGAAGATGAATCTGGTGTTTACGTAGCTCAATTGTCATCTGAGGAAGTAGACCAGCCTTGCACCACTGATAGAGTTCGAATACAATTGATTAGCAGTAGCTTTCCCTTGCCAGAGCGTTTCTTTCATGCACCAAAGAGATGTTCGGAAGAAGATGAAGACTGAATTTGCGCTTAACAAAGTGGAAATATAACAATTCTTGTATGAGCAATAATTTTTATGGCAAAAACGCGGTAAAATAAATTTAAGCTCGCAATTGATGCAAAAATTAACTACTGATAGGAGTTTACATAGGAAAAAGTATATTACTAGATGGTAAGTTCTAAACTTTTAAATGAAATTCGCTGAAATACGACACAGATTAGAAATCAATTAGTGCTCGCATGCATAAGTGTTGTTATTGTTGTACTTCATAACTAAAATAAAACCACAAACGCTCACGGTTTCCAGGAAAGCCAGCGTTTATTTTAAGTTGATTTGATGCGCTGTATAGAATTCAGAGCATCTTATCAACGCAGGAAATAACCGGTTCTGAAAATCGACTATATAGAAACATAGCTATGTACATATGTTATGTACATACATATCGTTACCTTAATATGGATCTAACATTTTAGTTAATTTACGATAAAAAATAAATAAAAAATTGTATCGAAAATTAAGTTATTTAGCTCCGGATGCATTTTGTACACTGTGTAGCAGTTATTTTTTAGTTGTATTAGCATTATAGTTAGTAATATTTCGACTTTAGTATGAAACTGGATTTTGAGGTAACGATATGTCCCGCTGCCACCTCCAAGACTGAATTATATCGAAAATAAGGTGACCCTAGTTTCTTATTTTGAAATCGGTTAATATCTAACCGTGCCTGAGGCGCACAGTGGTCCGAAAAGCCATATTTAACGCGAAAAATTAGAAGGGCTATTGCTGTTATAGTAAAACTGCAGGATCTTAGTATTTTTGTAATGCTAACGCCGAAAATGTCATAAAATTTATTGTTTGACAGTTAAAAGCAGTCAAATCAACTGGATATTTATCTAAAACTAATAAAATCTTTTTGAAAATACCATTAGTTGGGTTTTCAGGCACGCTAGTCACACGCATTTTATTTCAAATTAAAACTTTGACTATTGACAGCTGTCAAATGGACTGTGCCATTTTTTCAAATAAGGCACATTTTTTAAAAGTGCTACTGATTAAGTTTTAAGACAACGATCACGATCTTTATGTTACATTAAAACTTTGAGAGTTGACAGCTGTCAAATCAACTGCCAATTTCTCTTAAAGTAAAAAAATATTTTTTAAAACGCTACTGATAAGGGTCCTAGACACGCTAGTCACAAATTTTACGTCAAAAAAAAAATCCCTGAGAGTTGGCAGCTGTCAAATGGACTGTGAAATTTTCTAAAAATATGACAATATTTAGAACTTTTCTGCTTCCGATCTCTGTTATTGGCGAAGGTTTGTTGCAATATATTGTTTTTATTGGGAAGATGGAGACCCTCTACAGCTGGAGAAAAGCACGTTGTACCTCGGATTAGTATATAATCACCACCAAACACTCGTGTCTCTTCGGTGGTACTCTATGCTTGCAAAAGGAATTTGGGCTGCACCTGGATGTTATCGCTTTCTCTCTTCCACTGAATCTTCACGACAATTAACAGGCCGATAAATACTACTGTGCCAGGTACTGAACTGGTGTACAGCTATTAATAAGAAAATAATAGACAGTGTATATCGATACCTGAGTAGAAGATATACCTATCTCGGCAGCCAGTTCGAGGAGCCCTATCTCATACAGGGAACCCCTACTTCAGAATTTTATTAAAAGAAAAAATTAAAGCCCAGAGCTGGCGTGAGGACACGACACTGGTTGGTCGATGATGTAAGTGATGCAGTGTTTTTCGCCGCACTTGAGTTTATTAAGTCTTAAAAATTCTGCATTATCTAGCAAGAGGTTTTAGTCATAAAGAAGGCGGTGGAACTTTTGAATAATAGGCACTAATATCAAGTGCGTTGCGCATTTTCATCCATATATAAAAATAGATTTTAGTCATGCGTTATATGGAAGAAAATGCTAAACACCCTTAACATAAAAAAAAAATCTCAAAACGGTAATTTTTAGAGATGTTCTTTATGAAAATGAAAAAATTTATTCTGCTGGTTTTTTTGCTGTTGAATGCAAATATATAAAAAAATAAGAAAAATTTGCTAAGGAAAATTTAAATAAAGAAAATGGTCAAAACGTCAGGGTATTCATATTTTTGTCGCTGACTTATTGGCGAATACTCTTTACATATCGGCTTTACAATTAATGTTGCAATAATAGTACCACCATTGTGAAAAATAACAAAAATAGTTAAATAAATACATAGGTTTGCTTTCTACATTTTCTACAAAAATTCACTGCATTTTTTAGTTTGTTTTATCTTCAGGTAAGTACGTGTTGAATGAAATCCATGTTGTATGAAAATAAGTTTCCACAAATTATATATATAAATACATACATACATACAGTCAGTCAATAAAGTTTAGGTACAGCGAATTTTTTACAGTACGGGCAACTACTTTTTAAATATTTTATTTTTCGACAATTTTTTATAAAAATATGGTTGATTCTACAACAAAACACCCAAAAATCAGAGTTCCAAACCTTGTGCAAAATTTAAGAATTTTCTGCAAAATTTCATTCAAATATTGCACTTTTTATTTACGCTGTGTAGAAAAAAGTTGAGTATGCAGTTTTTTAGCCCAGTCAATTTTAGTATAACAAAGTGCAAGCTTGAGGTAAGTAGGACTTACCATTGATTTTTAGCAATTTTTTTTGTTGAAGGTGTCGCTCATTTTTTCCATATAAAATAATGTTTGATAATTTTTTTATATGGAAAAAATGTGCGACACCTTCAACGAAAAAGGTCCCAAAAATCAATGGTAAGTCCTAGCTTCTTCAGACTTGCACTTTATTACTAAAATTGAATGGGCTAAAAAACTGAATACTGAACTTTTTCTAGAGAGCGTAAATAAAAAGTGCAATATTTGAATGAAATTTTGCAGAATTGTCTTTAATTTTGCACAAGGTTTGGAGTTTTGATTTTTGGGGTTTTTGTTGTAGAATTAACCAAATAATTTGCGAAAAATAAAATATTAAAAAAATAGTTGCCCGTATGGTAAAAAATTCGCTGTACCTAAACTTTATTGACTGACTGTATGTACATACATACGAAGGCACACAATGACTAGCAATCAATAGCCTAACACACCCGTACTATGGCAAAGCAAAAGTGCCAAATGTAATCAGTGATGAATTGTTAAACTTTCCATTTAGCTTCAATAAAAGTTGGCTGGACAAAAGACAAAATTTAATTTCGAGCAACATCTGCAAATAAAATAATTGCCAGCTGAATTGGTGAATTGATCAATTGGAGTGCGTTCCATTTTGACATTTATTCAATCGTTTGCCAATTTTCACGCGAATTCGGTTGAACAACAAAATTTCAGCGAAAAGCTCATTATGTTACGCTCGCGGGTAAGACTTTTGGCGACTTTTGTGTTAAAATGTGTTTTTTCGAGTGCTATATACAAGCTATTCCAAATTGTAAAATACGCGTACGACATGCAATATACATATTTATTCAACCAACATATACACGCGAATTTGAAACTATTGTACATATGTATGTATGTTTATATAAAATCAGTATGTATAAGTACAATTCACGAAAGTTAGCAAAATTAAGTGAGTCTTGGAAAAATTAAATCAAGCCATTACATAAGCAAAGTATTTCTGGTAGTTAACAATTTTTGTAACAAAGCATTGCGCTGCTTTGGTCGATTTTGGGTAAATGTTTCTTCCCATATTGATAGCCAACTGTTGCCGTTGTATTTTATGGCTAATGAAATGACATAATAGTTGCAAGTACTTCAATGGTGATGACTTACTTAACGAAGGCTATGAGTTTGGTGGGTGATTGAGTAAGATAATTTCTGGGATTTTCCTTTTCGTGTGACTGCGTTAGTTTTTGTAACTATTATTTAGTTTCTTTGAATACATTTGCTTAAAATAATGGTGTCAATGTGACAATTACGTTTTATTTGATTTTTACAACGACTACGCTGTTAGGCTAAAAACACTCAATGAAGAGTTTCAGGTAAGAGATTAATCCGAATCAGGTATAGATTTCACTCCAATGTACCGGTTAATTTTACATATTTATCTTGTAGAAAAATAATGAACTCTTATAGCCTATTTCCACCAAAGGCTTAACTGCAGTTAAGAGCTCAGAAAAGTTCAAATAATTCTAACATGGGGTGACCGGAGGGGTTTTTTCTTAAGTTTTGCTTTCTCCTTTCGTTTGCTTCTACTTTATAGGTGGAACACACCCCCTTCGAGTTGTAATCTCCGTTCTTCAAACGGCATAAACTGCAGTTAAGGCTTAGTGGAAATGAACTATTAGATAAGCGCTAGGAGAGTTTGTGGATAATGTTCGATAAGTTGATACCTATCGATAAATCGATGAATTTCAAAAACACTAAAATCCGATAACTCAACCAAATTCGATAACTCGACTATTATCGAAAATCTTCGATAAATGTGTATTTCGAGGACTCGATAATTTCCATAACTCAAAAATATCTCGATATAAATCGAGAACTCGAAACATATTGGCTACCTCTATAAATTTCGTTAACTAGGTTAATTTTGATAGCTCCACATATTCGAAAGCTATCGACAAATTTCGATAACTCTTTATACTTTGGTAACAGGATAAAATTCGTTAAGCAGTGATAAATTGATAACCTTATATAACCAGGAAATTTCGATAAGTCGATATATTTTGAAAATTTTAAAATCTTCAATTCGATAAATCGACAAATTTCAGTAATTCAATAAATATCAATAGCTCTATAAAGTGAACGTACTCAATGAATTACGATAACTCGATAAATTGATAATTGATATTGATAATACAATAAATAACGATAACTTGATCTATTTCATATTAAACAAATTTGCGAAAAAAAACTCGGTTTGAACAGATTGCTACAACAACTATACACAAATACGGAAACGACGATTTTGGCCGTAATTTTCAAACCATAAACACTTTCCTCATCTACATAAAATACCCTTCCAATGGTGTTCCTGGTTTCGAAGTTTCGGCGTTTCGGTAGAATCGCCAAACGAACGGTGACAAAATTCATGGCAACGTAATATAGACGTACATGATATTCATATTATGAATTCATTCAAAAAGCAGAACAAATACGAGCA